GCAATGCATGTACAAAAATAACAAATACAATTTAGTGGCTGTAAAAAACTATTTCCCCTAAAAATAGTTATCTCTGCAGAACAATTCAGGGAGAAAAGTGTTCTTAAAATGAAAATGTGCGAATCTATTTTACACCTTACGCAATTAAGTAAACAAAATAAAAATTAAAACATGTGCAAACCTGTAAGAAACAACCACACAGAATTTATAACAGACATTAAATATTAATAAAATTTTAAATGTATATTACTAATAATATCAGCTTCAGTGACATAGTTTAAAGAAAGTTGTCAACCAAAACAAACCAAAAATGCTTCTTTAAGTTGTACTATCCAACACGTCAGCCGCAAAGTATCTATTGACAGCAATCACTTTAGAATCACCAATAGTGAGGACCTATATAATCAATCTGTTTTGTTTTTTGTCCATGTGAGTGTGTGTTGCAAGATGGGGAGGGAGGAAGATATGGAAAGTCAACAGCCATAAGGAAATAATTTACCTCCAAAGAGAAGGAGATGACGAGTAAACATACAGTTTGGAAAAACCAGTGATTTCGCTCTTTGAGGATTTAATCCAAATTTTTCTATTGTGTAGTATTATATGCAGAAAAGAAAATGTGTCACACTTGCAAAACTGAGAGTACTCAGTATTTTAATCTGTATTTTCTCTTTTGTCAAAATTTAAGTATTAATAGTAGTTCACTTACAAATGGCAGACACAGAAACACAGTTTTATAGCTTCAAAATGATTTTTTCTCTATGATTAGCCCATTAGGAGAACCTCAAAAATTCAAATTGTCTGCAATCAGGATTGTTATTATCTATTAAAATCATTTTCCATTAAATCATGAAATAACTTTACCTCTAAACAGTTTTCTCATACACCATCGCACTGATAGGTGAACAACAGTAATTCCTATGTGAAACTGAATACTATGACAAAATGCTGGTATTTAAATCATTTTAGGAGTGGTTCTTAAAGTATAGCTCTAAAATAGTGTTTCTAGGAATTGGTGTATTTTTTAATATCCCAGATATGTTTCAAAATAAGTTTTCCTCTTGGTATGCAGTGACATTTTCAAATATACTTCTTGATTGTATCTTTTAAAAAGGCAGTAAAATGTTAAAGTTATAAATGACATATGAAATGATTATACAGTTTGAAATATTTTACTATGATACACAGACTTAAATTCAGCATAATTAGTATATAAAATGTGTTCCAATTTCTCCAGCCTTGAAATTTAAATTGTTCATTTGCATGAAAATAAGTTTTTTAAAAAAGGATAGAGGTAAAGGTTGTCATTTTCTTAAGTTACTTCTATCTTAAATATTGGATCCTTTTCTTTTAAAGTTACTATATTTAACTGTAAGATAATTAAACTAAATTTAAAAAAAAATGTATACATCCAAATGATACTGCCTACCTCAAAAGTAGTGACATGAGGAAGTTATGTTTTTTATTAAATGATGCTACAAATCAATACTCAAAATATTCTCTTCTGCAATTCAGATCCTATAGCATATTCTTTTGAACTTCCTAAATAGTTTAGTTCTAAGAAAAGAGCCAAAGCAGAGCCATTTTGGTAAGTGAGATAGGTCATATTAAGCTTCCAGAAAAGTTTTTGGTGCAACTAAAATGATGAAATGGATTTTCTTGTATAGTCACATACCAACTCTCAAGGCATCTCTGAAAGTGATTACACCTCTCCAGTGTAGCTGAAGTAAGTAGTGCTCCCAAAGAAACCACCCGAAGATCAACTCTCACTTCGCTGTTTAAGGTGTGGCATATTTATTTCAAAAGGAAGTCCTACAGACTAATAATTGTATCTCCCATATCTTACCATTTCAGTGGTTATCAAAACCTCTCTCAGAGAGGGTGAAGACAAAGGTATAAAAGAAATGTTACTGTACTATTTTCCCCTAAGCAAGGAAAATACTAATACATAAAATGGAGTATGGTGATTACATGTAAAATATAAATATGAGCATTATCTGTAATTCCTGAATGTAAGAGACTGTAGTGCTTTCTTTCCTGATAAGCCAGGCGGTAACTCAGTCTGAGACATATTTATTATACTCTAAACATATCTTCTCCCACCTAGTTTTATGTTGACCATTTAGCATTTACAAATAACAAGCAAAGGTAGGAAGAAACAGCTATCTAAAATCTTTGAATTTAAGGTAAACTGACCTCCAAAGTCTCTACCAGCTAACACATACTTACTGTTTTGCTGCAGCCTAATGCCATGGTTTCTGTGGGAAACAGAATAATCAAGCCAGCAAATAAAAGCCAGTAGCACCATCTACAGCTAATGAAAAGATTTTCACTCTTTCTGTTACTAATTTCTTTCCATCACCACTATTCCATCATTTAAGAGAATTCCTAAAACTTGCTTTATATCAACATGTAACCAAAGCATTGTGACAGTAACACTATGTAAACTTATTACTTTATATTTCATGCTTTCATCAGCAGATGAGAAAACCAACTTTTGCTCTGTATCTCTGTAAGAAGGGAGGGACAAGGAGGGGGGGAATCATTATCCTGGTTATTTATAAATTAAGAGACTTGGAAAGAATCTGATAGACATTTGTAAGCTAACTCTGTTGCAAAACAAGATGTGATCCTTATTTTATAAAGGGCAACTTGCTAATGCTCATGGGAACCAGCTGAATGAAAGCGACTTTTTCAGATCAGTTATCTCGCACACGCTCTGGGTTTCCCTACCTGCAGCCATGTTACCATGTACACTGCCAGGCCTCTCCCTGGGAGAACGTCTCTACTTTGTTACCACATATACACATGCATATGTCCTTACTTCCCAATACCTCTTCTTCAAGGAATACTCAGAAGCAGGCACCTGAGATTCTGGCACAGTGACAAGAAACTCCTATCTACCTAGAGTGGAAAAGTCAGTCCTGCTACTAAACATTAATTTATAATAACATTTGTACAGTACTGTGTAAGGCTTAAATGAGCAAAACAAATGTTTCACTTTTCTCTCCACACTTGGCTACTGCAACCCCTTTATTATCAGGTTGATATGAAGTCAAATGCAGTATGGAAGACAATTTGAATTATCATGTGCTTCATTTTCCTAAATGAATAGGACCCAAATCACTGGATGTCAAATTTTACTTCTGAATCAACCCATAGTGGCTGATGTTGTATATCTGGATACTAAAATATTTGTTTTAAGGAAATCAACAGTTCTCACTGCAGTTTACAAATAGGTATTACCAATGAATGTCCAATGTATTTGCCTCTGCCAGGTTCTCCTGTTAATTCCATGTTGGTATGTGGAGAATGATTGCTAGAAATGAAATGGGATAAAAATTTCCTAGTGATCATAATTGTAATGGCATTAAATTGTACCACTATTTGATTTGTTAATGGCAAAACCAAACTGATTTCATTTTACATTCTTTTCTATTAAGTGTTTTTAGTCTATACAATTTCAGAGCAAGATTTCTAGTCTACAAGGGAAAAGGTATATATTTCAAACTGAAGGAAACAGTTTTACCAAAAATGACAAAATTAAAACTGCAAGTCTAAGAGGATATTTTGCAAGAATAAAACTGAAGTGAAAGATGTTAATATCTACTTTAAAAACTAAGTTTCTGAATTTTTTATTTATGGGAATAGTTCACTAGAAAGTCATGGCAAAAAAAAGGTAAAAGTTAGCAAGTACTCATTTAACACTTTCATTATCTGATATCACTGCAAAGAAAAGACTTCCTTTCACAGTGGAAAAATCAGAAGTCAGAACGCTTGGGCCTACAACAAGCAAAGAAGGTACTGTATCATTTTAAAATGATAAAACACCAGCTCCATTCACTGAATGGAAATGCTATAAAGTGATCAATTTTCCCACAGAGTCCTTAAATTCCATGTGTATGCCTATATCTAAAATTAGTAATTTATTTTTAACTTCACATGGAAGTTGATTCCTAAAAGGAAGTCTCCAAGACTTTGTTTACAAGATACTGATTAAACTCTTCATGCCATTCTAGTCAAGGGTTTTGAGAAAGGACTTTCTTGAACTTGACCCTATACTTAATCCCATCTATAACGCCCCATTCAAACTAACCCTACCCTCATCCCTCACAACCACACACTCCAGTCCTCTTCAAAGCAGAAGGGGATTCTGCAGACTTATGGCTCATTTGGCAATTGCTAAGAAACCTCACAGTTCAGCATCACCTCTGGAGATCGCAAACCTATATATAACCTGAATTTTTACACCTACAGTGCAGTTAAAGTGTAGAAAGAAGCCAAAATGTAACAGCTATCACATTTCAACATCTTCAAGTTTCAATATCACAGATATCAAGAGATGGAAAAGACTTGCCTGTAGAACTTTAAGCATCTGTTGAACAGAATTACTATCAATATCAAAAATAATTAAGAAATACTAATTTTTTATGCCCTACACGCACACCTTTACAAATTGTGTTTCTCTAATGTAGTAAAAGTTGGAGATAATCAATTTAGGTAAACTATGGCTTTTATCAATATTTTAAAACATGCATCAGTTAAGTGCCCTGGGTAGACATCCTAATATTGTTTCAAGCCCTGTTAAATTCTATGTCTGTGCTTTGCACCTCAGAAGTGAGCCTGCCAAGGCACTTAAAAACGTCTTTTGGGGACTTCAAAAATCAGCCACAATTTACACAAGGAGAACCCCCATCCATGAGCAGTCCAATCAGTAAGCATTTTCTTTCAACATATAACATTATTAAAAATTCTCCAAGTTAAAAAAAATACTATATGCCACTAAGACAAAATTTACCCCTATCAAATGTATAGACAGTGGTTCTTGGCTTCCTCCAGCAATAGTATATGGTTTCATTTATTCAGATTAAAGAAAAAGGAACCCAAACAAGCCCTCCAAGCCTAAGATTAAAAACAACCAAGATAAAAATAAAATACAACAAAATCCAAATACTCTCCACACAGTTTCATTTGAGGAATAATTTGCATAGGTCCCCATCCTTTTATCTGTCCTTTGAGGTGAGTTTTTCAATCAGTTCCTGGAGTGGTGCAAGTTCTCTTCTATCAATAAGGTTGAATTCCTATGTGCCGACAAAGGCAGAAGAAAGAGCAAGAACATATTATTTACATCTCATTCCAAAATAGATTTCCATTAACATTTGTTGGAAATTAACTTTTAAGTAAATAAAATTCAAATCTTTAAAAAAAAAAATTTTTTTTCCCCCTATTCCCTATCTCTTGCATCTTAGGCAAATTACTTAACCACTTCTGGTATTTTACATTTCTACTAATATTAGGATAAATTATCTCATAAGATTCTGGAGAAGAGAATGGCAATGCACTCCAGTATTCTTGCCTGGAGAATTCCATGGACAGAGAAGCCTGGCAGGCTACAGTTCGTGGGGTTGCAAAGAGTTGGACACGACTGAGCGACTCACACACACACAGACACATATCTCGTACGATTACTAAGGGGAATAAGTGTGATACTGTGTGTTAACCACTTCATGTAATCCCTGGCACAGAGGAAACAATAAATGAGACTTGCTGCTCCCTGTTAGGATGAATAATTGGGACACCATTTAGATATATCCAATCAAGTAGGGACCAAAGAAATTCTCGGGCAAATTTCAGCATTATATGAAGAATAAAAGATTTAGTTTATGTTATTAACTAACATATCTGCAAGCTACATAGGATATGGTATGAGAATGATATGAATAATGTGGAGTCCACAGATGATAAGTAATAAAATCCTATCAAGAACAAATAAGAAAGCCTGGATTTAATTTGTGCTTTTTCAGAAGTTCTATCACTGTCATTCTGAAATTCAATTCTGAATAGCTTTCCCCTATAAAAGTAGCTTATAAATTATAAGGTTAAAACATAAAGGTTGTCGATATTTCTGATCTTCTGCCACAGTGGGGCATTCTGAGATCTCAATTTCACTCGTTTATTAGCACTTGCCATGTGCCAACCACTACAGTAAGTACTGAGAAGAAACATTAAAGGGGCATTTAACAGCAAGTCTACCACTAAGATTTGTGGGGTGTGGACCAAGAACACAAATGGATTTATATCACATGACTAAATTATTATATTTTATATTAAGCTAATATATTTTTATATATGTTTGATTCTCCTGCCTTGACAAATACACCTTCGTAGTAGCCAGGAAGGCAGATTCAAATTTAGAATTTTTAAAAGACTCCTCAAGAGTCTACATGTGAGGAGAGCCAGTCCTTGGCCCTCAGCAAACCTCCCTGATCTACCAAACCCCAGCTTCATCCTGTAATTCAAAGGGTCTCACATGCAGGAGTGTGGACACCCTGACTGGCTTATAAAGGGAATGTCCACACACACTCATGAACAGCTGCAATGTGGGTATTCCTTAGGTTTAGAGGTATACACATGAGACATGATCTTCTCTTAAAATAATGTACCAACAGAAAAGATCCATGCAGATCCTGGAAATACACTTGGGACCACGTGGGCAGGGAATTCTGAATCTCAGGTACCCAAGCACATACCAGAAGGGACTTATGCAGGTGTGTTCTTGGCCCTGTGGATTTCTCACTCTGTGGGGAGAAGTAAGCTGGAGAAGGGCCAGGGTAAAACTAAATTGTGAGGCCCAGGGCAGGGGCCACTCTCACTCAAAGAGGTGATACTATATAACCAATGGACCCATCTTTAAAACCATCACAGTGTCCTCAGATGCAATGAGGCTCAGATGTGGTAAATGCCACATACCAATTTCGTACTATTTCCTAGGAGTTGGGAGATACAGGGTACTTTAACATCATACAGTAAGGTAAAACTAAACTTTCTGGTGAGAGAAATCCTCTCTCAAACTACTGAAACCTCAAGTAATCATGTTCTGCCTAAACCAAGGCACGGAGACAGACATTTAGTATAACATTTTCTTTGTTTCTACTGGTGTCTATAGATGGGACACCACAGTAAAATAATTACTCAGAGCAATGGTTTTGGCAAGTTCAGTTCAGTTCAGTTCAGTCGCTCAGTCGTGTCCAACTCTTTGCGACCCCATGAATCGCAGCACGCCAGGCCTCCCTGTCCATCACCAACTCCCAGAGTTTACCCAAACTCATGTCCATTGAGTCGGTGATGCCATCCAGCCATCTCATCTTTTGTCGTCCCCTTCTCCTCCTGCCTCCAATCCCTCCAAGCATCAGGGTCTTTTCCAAGTTACTATCTCCTAAATTTTCTTTGTTTATATAGGTGAAATTAAGATACAAAACGTGTGCCCTCAGTGTGAGGAGTGTGAATAGAAGGAAAATAAATTTTTCTTTGTGGAGATGAGTGTGAGAAAGGCATTTATAAGTTTATAATACAAAAACATTAAAAAAACAACAGAGATATGCGTCATGGACATCTCCTACCTACCATCTTCCTTCTCCAACCTCCACTGAAAAATATCTGCTCAGTTTATGCATTTCTACCTTTTTCACTCCTACCTGTTGGTTCTCTAATTACTATAGCAGGGCAAGAATAAACTCATTTCTTTTAGTCTACATCTCTAAGGCCAGTTGTCTAAGAACTAAACAGTGAAGGAAGAGGTCAACCTAAGGAGTCGGATCAAAGATTGATGGACCTCTGGAATATCAACGCTCTTTGGGACATTTTTCCCCCTTTGGAATAATGGACAGTATCAAATTCAGAACTTAGAATATGGTTTTAAAAGGAGGGAAAAGATATGCTATTTAAAGTTCATTTCCATGGCAGATCTTTGAAAAAAGATCTAGAGTAGCCAGGAAAAAGGAGCAGCAGGAGCGCTCAGAGACAAGTGCATCTCCATGTCTACCAGCCAAGTTCCCTCTTCAGCTGCTCCATTACAGACAGTTAGCTGCAGTAAGGTTGTTGAGATTCACTGTAGACTTGTGATGGAATTCAGAAACTGAAGGCAAGTCTTTATCATCATGGCAAGTATTAAAGAGGATAAAGACAAAAGAAATAGAGCAAATTTTATCCTGACAGTATGGATGTAGTATTCACCTCATTACTCTGTAGATAACTGCTTTTACTGAGCAAAAAACATCTGCTAATCCAACTTGAAAGTAAAGTTGCTCAGTCGTGTCCGACTCTTTGCAAACTGATGAACTAAACAGTCCATGGATTTCTCCATGCCAGAATACTGGAGTGGGTAGCCTTTCCCTTCTCCAGGAGATCTTCCTAACCCACGGGTCAAACCCAGGTCTCCTGCATCACAGGTGGATTCTTTACCAAATTCTGAGAATCTGAGAATTTACCAAATTCTTTACCAAATATTGAGCTATCAGGGAAGCCCCTAATCCAACTTACCTGGACAAAAAAAATAAAGTGCTTGAAAGATGTATTGAGATGTGCTTCCTCTTGAAGCTGGATCACAGGGTCGAAATGCTGATGATAAATGTGAGCATAAACCCTAAAGAGGCGTTTGAGTATAGTTTTTGCCACAGACATGAAATTCTTCGGAAATGGGACACCTAGTAAAGAGATAAACAACTCCCTCTATTAACAAGAAGAGAACAAGGCAGTATGAGTTTGTCAGCAAGTGACAACATAAATTACCAAAACAAGGCGGAAAATAAGAATATTTTTATTACCACTTAATATACCCATCGTACTTTTCAAATGTTCTCAGTATATCATGAATGAAAACAAACTTCAGTGCTTCTATGGAATAAGAATCTGTCTTCAGTAGAGCCCCTTAGGCCTGTAATATAACACCAGTTTACCAAAAATACAACAAATAAATGTCTGAGATGGTAATGGAGCTAAAATGCACACCTAGTCCCTCAGATTTCTTATGCTGAACACAAATAATGTATTACCACATTTAGTTTTGTTTGAAATGCTGGCAATACAGTTTTGTACTTTTTTTTACTACGGAAGTTATTGCATTACTACACCAGGAGTACATTTATCTTGAAATTAGCTATAGTCTCTGCTCAATTAGAGAGACTGGCTTTCTGAATTAGAGGACTTTTATAGCATTAAACAAATATATAACTAGAAAAATACAAAAATCCACATCCCTTGTTAAACTGGCTAAATGATCCAGACAGGCAAAACACAAACCAAAGTATGGTACTACGGGCTTCAGTGTGGTCACACTGCCTACTGCCCATTTAAAAATAAAATAAGGCACAACAAGGTCCTACTGCATGGCACCGTAGGGAACTCGGCTCAATGTTATCTGGCGGCCTGGATGGGAGGGGAGTTTGGGGGAGAAAGGGTACATGTATATGTATGGCTGAGTCCCTTTGCAGCCTACCAGAAACTATCACAACATTGTTAATCGCCTATACTTCAATATAAAATTAAAAGTTTAAAAGAAAAAAGTTACAGGTCACAAGAAAACGTAAGACAACATAAGACATCTGGGGGGACATAAATGTCTCCCAAATGAAGGGACACTATACAAAACAGTATGTTCACTCTGCAAAAATGTCAATGTCACGAAAGACCAAAAAAGACTGACAAATCGGAATAAGATCTGTAAATTAGACAGTAATATTGTACCGGTATTAATTCCCTGATTTTGAAAGTTACTCTGTGATTGTCTAAGAAAATACACATTGAAGCACATGGAGATAAAGGTCATCATATATGCAACTTACTCTCAAATCTTCAGGAAAAAGAAAGAATGTGGGGTCAGGAGGGAAGAGAAAGTAGGGAAGGGGTGAGGAAGGAGAGAAGCAGGGAGGGAAGAAGGGAGAGAGGGAAGGCACATGAGTTAAAAGGCCGGCAACTAAACAATCTGGGAGAAGGATATATAAGGGTTCTTCGCATGAGTCTTACAAACTTTCTATTAACAGAAGTCTGAAATTGGATTAAAGTAAAAAGTTTAAAAATACAGAAGATAAAAGATGAGGGCACTTATCCCATACCATACTATGTATATAAGGAATGCAGTTTTGAAAAATAGACCTTTCATTACAAAGGTTTTGAAGTAGTTAAAGCATTCAATGAATGTGTCACAACAGCAACTATTTACATTGCTCTCTCCTCCACCACATCCTTCTCCTCAAAAGTAAAAAAGCATAAAATACAGTCAAGAAGTTGAAAAAGCAAATTCTTATTTTTTTCAGAAAACACAGCTGTAAGCAGTCTGACACAGTAAAACCATTATGAACTGTTAATAAATAAATGTAAATAAATAAATGTGAATAAATAAATAAATAAATGTAAATAATTTCTGCTTGAAAGTTTAGCCCTTTAAAAGGTCAGCAAATATAAAAAAAGCAAAAGTCACTTAGGTGCTAACAGGCCAACCCATCAAATCTTGTTTTCTTCTCACCTAGTTTGATCTCACAGTCGGCAAGGCTCATGCTATGGGTCATGAATACAAATGCTCTGATAAAAATATAATGTAATACTGGGTTCATATCATATAGAAGTGAAAGAAAGTGAAAGTCACTCAGTCATGTCCGACTCTTTGGGTCAAACTCAATGGGTTACTCCATGACCCATGGACTGTACAGGCCAGAATGCTGGAGTTCTAGCATTCTGGAGGGTAGCCGGTCCCTTCTCCAAGGGATCTTCCCAACCCAGGGATCAAACCCAGGTCTCCCTCATTGCAGGTGGATACTTTATCAGCTAACCCACGAGGGAAGCCTAAGGTCATACAAACTCCCTTTCTAAATATGAAATGGACACGACTACAGCAGATGATTACCAGCTGTCTACCCAACGTCCAGTCTCTTTTCTACCCTTAACACAGGCCAGATTTGTTACAGTCCAAAACATACAGATCTTCTTATTGTTTAAAATTATAGGGAGGTTTACCTAATTAATGCATGATAAACTTGGTATGAAAAAGACACTTTTCAAGCATATAAGACTAGAAATATTAGAAATATTTTGAAGTGACAATTAATGTAGCATGGTTCCTTGAATATATAGGCAATTCTATTGTAAGTCCTAGAAAAGTACGAAGGTAGATAAATCATGATGGATCCCAGTTAACCAAAACAATTATACCAATTTTTGATGGAAATAATGTCTCATCATCCAACTGGTCCTGAACCCAAGTCATCAGGTAATCAATATACTTTGGTGCAGAGCACTTAATAGGCTTCTTTATATTTGTTCCATCTGCCCAATGATACTCATATCTGTATTGGAAAGATAAAAAGCACACAGAATATCAATATAATCTATACACAATGTCTGTATTTTTTGTATCACACATATGTTTTTATGAATATATTCAGGACATTTTTTAATCTCCTCCTCCAAATAAATATTTTTTTATATTTGGCATTTTTAATTTGCTATCAAACTATTTTGCATTTATCAGGATACAAACTAAGATTCCACCAAGCTCATTTTTTGTGAACTTTCCTTCATATATAACTTTTATATTTTAGAATCACATACAGTATAAATTGCCATAGCAGAAACCCTAAGTTTATTTTCCACTTCTATGGTGATCATCTTTAATCTTTATAATTGTTGTCTTCTTCCTCAAAAAACATTTCTCCTTACACAGTACAATTCTCTTTTACTTGGGGCGTTAAAATTTGGGTTAAAGATAGAGAATGAAACAGAAGTGCCAAAGTAAAATGAATGAAAAAGAGAATGATTCAATATTTGAGTATACTTGGTTGAGGAGCTAAACAAGCCTTTGAGGAAGACTGGAACTCCAAATAAAGATGCCTACAGTATTTGGGTATTAACGAGACACTATCCTTTGGTACAACAAACTTTTAATGTGCACCTACGATATGAGAAATGATGAGTCAAGGAATGCTGCTCTTGAACAAGGGACACTGAATTGAAAGACGTTTTCTCTATTCTCACAGAGAAAAGACTGGTAGAGAAGACAAACCTGTAAATGACTATGTGAAAACAGTGCAACAGAATGCTCATGGAGTTAACTACACAAACATACACTCACAACCACAACCTGATTTTTTTAAGATAATAAGCATGCAGCTGAAACTCCAAAGTACAAAAATGTCTAAACCGAACTAGCATTTAGTTCAGTTTCTGAAAGATTACCTCTGCCTCTCCCTTTGAATCAGTTGTGTTTTTCTAACCTTGCCCCAGAGTTTGGACTGACAGAACAACAGGTGAGAAAGGTCAGAAAAGGAGCTGAAAGAAAATATAATGGAAAAATACTACAGGGTATTTTAAACAATGAAAACCATCTTGAGACACGATAAATAAGGATGCCTCCTATTTAATCATAGCTACTCACTTGAGCAGTAAATGTTAAATAGGATACACTCAAATAAATATTGTGACACCACATCTTGTTGCCAACCCTGGGAAACAGGGATGAAATGTCAAGTTTACTTTGAAGGTCTCCAATAGGCAATTTCCCAACACTTCCTGGCATCCTGTTTCACTATTTAATCACTTTCACAGTCAAGAGATTCTTCCTAATATAAAACAAAGTCTCAGGTGTGCCTTAAGCTTCTTCTTGTTTGATTCTCTTTGGAGATAGAGAATATGAATGGTAGGACTTTAAACCATCATTACTTAGTCTTCCTGGAGAAGGAAATGGCAACCCACTCCAGTATTCTTGCCTGGGAAATTCCATGGACAGAGAAGCTGACGAGTTACAGTCCATGGGGACCTAAAGAGTCAGACAAGAATGAGTGACTAACTACAGCAACAGCTTAGTCTTTGCTTAAAAAGAAAGGCATTCACCTACGTTTTCTCCCTTATGTTATGAATTCTTAATGTTTTTGCATTTCTCTTATAGTCATGTTTTTCATTCTGTTAATGATTTCCAGGTGTTCCATATTCATTTTTTTAAATTTGTATTTTATTTATTTATTTGGCTGCACTGAGTCTTAGCTACAGTATACAGGATTTAGTTGTGGCATGTGGGATCTAGTGCTCTGACCAGGAATGGAACCCGCACCCCCTACATTGGGAGCTTGGAATCTTAGCCACTGGACCACCAGGGAAGTCCCCTATATTCATTTTTAAATGTGAAAGTCAAAAGCGGACACAGTAAACCAAAAATCATTTTCAATACCCTGAAGCTTTATTAAAAAAATACTAATTTTCAATGCCCTAAAGCTTTCTGAAAAACAAAACTGTATATTGCTTATCCTTCTAGAGTTTATAACTGTGATCCCCTGAATCTTTTTCTTTTGTCATGTTTATACTTAAGATGGGGATTCCCTAATAGTTAAGTTGGTAAGAATCCGCCTGCAATGCAGGAGACCCTGATTTAATTCCTGGGTCGGGAAGATCAGCTGGAGAAAGGATAGGCTATTCACTCCAATATTCTTGGGCTTCCCTTGTGGCTCAGCTGGTAAAGAATCTGCCTGCAATGCGGGAGACCTGGGTTCGACCCCTAGGTTGAGAAGATCCTCTGGAGAAGGGAAAGGCTACCCACTCCAGGATTCTGGCCTGGAGAATTCCATGGACTGTATAGTCCATAGGGTCGCAAAGAGTCAAACACAACTGAGCAAATTTCACTTTTACTATACTTAAGATGACTTCATCTTCTGACTCTATTTTGTCCCCAATGATTTTTTTTATTTCACCTTTGACAGATAGTTGTCTGAAATTTATTTCTCTTGTCATGGTATGAACTTTTAAACTGCAAATTCCCAAGTATTCATTTCTTGGTTAACAACAATAATAAATAACAACAGAGAAACCATTCTAAGAAAAAAACTGCAAAAAGTACTAACAGGTGGAGTCTAAACAACATACTACCCAAAAACCAATGGGTCACTGAAGAAATCAAAGAGGAAATCAAAAAATACCTAGAGACAAATGAAAACAAAAACATAGTCATCCAAAATACATGGGATGCAGCAAAAGCAGCTCTAAGAGGGAATTTTATAGCAATACACGCCTACCTCAGAAAATAAGAAAAATCTCAAATAAACAATCTAAGCTTTAATTACCTGTGAAAATGGAACAAATAAAACCCAAAGTTAGTGGAAAGAAAGAAATCATGAGGAACAGAGCATAATTAAATGAGATAGAAACTAAGAAAAAAAATAGAAAACATTAATGAAACTGACACCTGGTCTCTGAAAAAATAAACAAAATTGATAAACCCAAAGAAATAAAATCAGAAATGAAAGAAGTTAAAAACAATAGCAGAGAAGTACAAATGATCATTAAGAGATTACTACAAAAAATTACAGCCAATCAAATGGATAACTTAGAGGAAAGTGATAAACTCCTAGAAACATACAATCTCCCAAAACTGAATCTGGAAAAAACAGGAAATATGAACAGATGGATTACCAGTATTGAAAATGAATCAGTAATTTAAAAAAACAAATAAACAAAAAACCTCCCAATAAACAAAAGTGAAAGACCAAACAGCTTCACAGGTGAATTCTACCAAAGAACTCATATGCTGCTGCTAAGTCGCTTCAGTCGTGTCCGACGCTGTGCGACCCCATAGGCAGCAGCCCACCAGGGCCCCCCGTCCCTGGGATTCTCCAGGCAAGAACTCTGGAGTGGGTTGCCATTTCCTTCTCCAATGCACGAAAGTGAAAAGTGAAAGTGAAGTCGCTCAGTCATGTCCGACTCTTATCGACCCCATAACTCAACATCAAAAAAATAAACAACCCAATTAAAAGATGGACAGAGGACCTGAATAGACATTTTTACAAAGACATACAGATGATCAACAGACACATTAAAAGATGCTCAATTTCATCAGTCATGAGGGAAATGGAAACTAAAACCATAATGAGATACTGTTTCACATCTGTTAAAATGGCTATTACCAAAAAGACAACAAATAATAAGTATTGGCAAGCATTTAACAAAAAGGAAATTTTTATGCACTGCTGAAGAAACTGTGAATTGGTGCAACCACTATGGAAAAATGTATAGAGGTGTTTCAGAGTCTCTTCAGAATATTAAAAATATAACTGTCATAAGATCTGGCAATTTCATCTCTGGGTATTTACGCAAAGAAAACACAAACACTAATTTGAAAAGATATATGCAAACAATTTTTCATTGCAACATTATTTTCAATACCTAAAATATGAAAGTGTCTATCAACAGATGAATAAATAAAGAATATGGGCTATGTATATATATTTATTTAAAGATACAAACCTCCAGTTATAAGTTAGCTTGAGAATATACTATTCAACATAAGGAGTATGGTCAATGACACTGTAATAACTGTATGGGAACAGATGACTACTAGACTTAACATGACGATCATTTCATAATGTATGGAAATGTCAAATCATTATGCAATACACCTGAAACTAACATAACACTGTATATCAACAATTATTTCTATTTTTTAAAATGTAACGGAAGCATTTTTAATAATCCAGTTTGGATAGAGAAGCAGACGCAAACAGAAAAAAGGCAGGATGGAGGACAGTACAGTATGGAGGACCATAAAGCTCAAGCTAAGGAACTCTCGACTCAAAATACTAGTCATTGGTGAATCACAGAAGGAGATAGTAAATATAGAAATTGTAAGGTCAGAAATTTTCTTCTTATCTAAGAACTGTATGATACAATAAAATTGAGAAAGGATCATAAATCATATCTTACTTTGGGCCAGCTGACATCACCGGACAACTTTCTTCTGTACAAAAATCTGTGATTGTTCCATAAAGCATGTTGATCTGATTGAAGAAATCTACAGCTGTAAAGCAAATATTATTTACAGGTAAAAAGTTAAATATTAATTTTACTCAAAGAGAATCTTTTATTTCAGCAAAATATGAGCTCTATCCATATTCTTTCCTCAACAAAGAACAGATAATCAGTATACAAGAAAAAATACTTAACTCACTGAATTTGGGAGCTTCTGGTTAAGTGACTCCCTGAAGAGAATAAAAAGGCAAGCACACCATGTTGATGTATGGCAGAAGCCAACACAATATTATAATTATCCTTCAATTAAAAATAAATAAATTTTAAACAAGGCAAGCACAGAGTGGGAAAAATTATTTGCAACACATATCATCAATAAAAATCCTGTATTCAGAATATATAAATAACTTTCACAGATCACTAAGAGTGAGACAGTTTCTGAGTCTCTTGGCTATCTCTATGGAAAAGAATAAAACTCGACTTTTCACTTAGTTCAGTACAGTTCAGTCACTCAGTTGTGTCCGACTCTTTGTGACCCCGTGGACTGCAGCATGCCAGGCTTCCCTGTCCATCACCAACTCCTGGAGCTTGCTCAAACTCATGTCCATTGAGTCAGTGATGCCATCGAACTATCTCATCCTCTGTCGTCCCCATCTCCTCCTGCCTTCAATCTTTCCCAGCATCAGGGTCTTTCCTAATGAGTCAGTTCTTCCCATCAGGTGGCCAAAGTACTGGAGCTTAGCTTTAGCATCAGTCCTTCCAATGAATATTCAGGACTGATTTCCTTTAGGATAGACTGGTTTGATCTCCATGCAGTCCAAGGGACTCTCAAGAGTCTTCTCCAACACCACAGTTCAAAAGCATCAGTTCTTCCGTGCTCAGCCTTCTTGATGGTCCAGCTCTCACATCCGTGCGTGACCACTGGGAAAACCACAGCCTTGACTAGATGGACCTCTGCTGCAAAGTAATGTCTCTGCTTTTTAATATGCTGTCTAGTTTGTCATAGCTTTTCTTCCAAGGAGCAAGTGTCTTTTTTAATTTCGTAGCTGCAGTCACCATCTGCAGTGATTTTGGAACCAAGAAAATAAAATCTGTTTCCATTGTTTCCCCATCTATTTGCCATGAAGTGATGGGACTGCATGCCATGATCCTAGTTTACTAAATGCTGAGTTTTAAGCCAGCTTTTCCACTCTCCTCTTTCACTTTCATCAAGAGGACCTTTAGTTCCTCTTTGCTTTCTGCCATAAGGGTGGTATCATCTGCGTATCTGAGGTTATTGATATTTCTCCTGGCAATCATGATTCTAGCTTGTGCTTCATCCAGTCTGGCATTTCACATGATGTACTCTGCATATAAGTTAAGTAAGCAGAGTAACAATACACAGCCTTGACATACTCCTTTCCCAATTTGGAACCAGTCCATTGTTCCATGTCCAGTTCAAACCGTTGCTTCTTGACCTACATACAGATTTCTCAGGAGGCAGGTAAGATGGTCCAGTATTTCCATCTCTTTAAGAATTAAAAAAAAAAAAAGAATTTCCCACAGTTTGCTGTGATCCACACAGTCAAAGGCTTTAGTGTAGTCAGTGAAGCAGATGTTTTTCTGGAATTCTCTTGCTTCTTCTATGATCCAATGGATGATGGCAATTTGATCTCTGGTTCCTCTGCCTTTTCTAAATCCAGCTTGAACATCTGGAAGTTCTCAGTTCATGCACTGTTGAAGCCTCGCTTGGAGAATTTGAGTTTTACTTTGGAAGCGTTTGAGATGAGTGCAATTGTGCAGTAGTTTGAACATTCTTTGGCACTGCCTTTCTTTGAGATTGGAATGAAGTGACCTTTTCCAGTCCTGTGGCCACTGCTGAGTTTTCCAAATTTGCTGGCATATTGAGTGTAGCACTTTAACAGCATCATCTCTTAGGATTTGAAATAGTTCAGCTGGAATTCCATTACTTCTACTAGCTTTGTTCATTGCAATGCTTCCTAAGGCCCATTTGATTTCACACTCCAGGATGTCTGGCTCTAGGTAAGTGATCACATCATCGTGGTTATCTGGGTCATCAAGATCTTTTTTGTCTAGTTCTTCTGTGTATTCTTGCCACTTCTTCTTCATATGCTTCTGTTAGGTCCAGACCGATTCTGAGTGCCCATCTTTGCGTAAAATGTTCCCTTGGTATCTCTAATTTTTTGAAGAGATCTCTAGTTTTTCCCATCCTCTTGTTTTCCTCTATTTATTTGCACTGATCACTTAGGAAGCTTTCCTACCTCTCCTTAGGAGTCTTTGGAACTCTGCATTCAGATGGATGTATCTTTCTTTTTCTCCTTTGCCTTTTGCTCCTCTTCTTTTCTCAGTTATTTGTAAGGTTCCTCAAACAGCCATTTTGCCTTTTTGCATTTCTGTTTCTTGGGGATGGTTTTGATCTCCACTTCCTGTACAATATCAGGAACCTCCATCCATAGTTCTTCAGGCACTCTATCAGATCTACGCCCTTGAATCTATTTGTCACTTCCACTGTATAATCATAAGGGATTTGATTTAGGTCATACCTGAATGGTCTAGTGGTTTTCCCTACTTTCTTCAATTTAAGTCTGAATTTTGCAATAAGGAGTTCATGATCTGAGCCACAGTCAGCTCCTGGTCTTGTTTTTGGTAACTGTATAGAGCTTCTCCATCTTTGGCTGCAAAGAATATAATCAATCTGATTTTGGTATTGACCATCTGGTGATGTCCATGTGTAGAGTCTTCTCTTGTGTTGTTGCAAGAGGGTGTTTGCTATGACCAGTGCGTTCTCTTGGCAAAACTCTGTTAGCCTTTGCCCTGCTTCATTTTGTATTCCAAGGCCAAACTTGCCTGTTACTCCATATATTTCTTGTCTTCCTACTATTGCATTCCAATCCCCTATAATGGAAAGGACATCTTTTTTGGGTGTTAGTTTTAGAAGGTCACGTAGGTCTTCACAGAACTGTTCAACTTCAGCTTCTTCAGCATTATTGTTTGGGGCATAGACTGGGATAACCGTGATATTGAATGGTTTGCCTTAGAAACAAACAGAGATCATTGTGTCGTTTATGAGATTGCACCCAAGTACTCACTGTGGTTTATATTTGTATTTCTTGGACAATCAGTGATGTTGAGCATCTTTTCATGTGCTTATTGGCCATTTGTATGTTTTCTTTGGGAAAATGTCTATTCAGTTCTTTGGCCCACTTTTAATTGAGTGGTCCCCCGTGTGAACAAGGGTAACCTATGGCTTTGAATCCCAGCTCTATACTTAACAGCTGTTACTTAACCTCCCTGGATCTGTTTCCTGCCTCTAAAATTTGGTTTATTGCAGAGTGCTAAAAAAAAAAAGACTTGTCTATCGTAAAGGAGACATTTAGTCATTATCAGTTTTCTTCCACAAAGACATGGCCTCAAGATTCTATGCAACAAAATTAATTATAAGCTATACATCTGCTTTTTCCAAAACTCTGAATTTTCTATCTTCTTTAAGCTATCACTCTTTCTGGCAGCAGAATATTCAAAAACAGCCTCTGGTTTCTGGCTATGAGATTAGTTATTGAATTTGTAAAATGTCCTATCTTCTACCATTTATCTTCATCTGGCAAGTAAAATGAAGCCAAAAGGCCATTAAGATATCAATCTTATCAACAAATTCCCTTCAGCCTTTTATGTACCCGAAATGTTTACTTAATCACTGTCAGTAATGGAAATTATCTGTTTAGTCTCAAATCCTATTCACTTTATCAAGTGTCATTTGGAAAGATTACTATATATATGTGTGTGTGTATATATATATACATATATGTAAGAAAAAACTGTAATCCAATATTTCAGTCAATTGCTATATTTTAAAAGCAGAATTCCATGTTCTATGGGGATGTTCTAACACCTCAGTTCAAAGTAATTTTCTTCCGGCTATAATTGCAAAATGTGTATATATTTATTGTCTATATATTTAATGTCTAATATAAATTGCAAATGTGAAATTTTAGAAGTTCCTCAAGTTCTAGACATTTCAATAGTACAGACAGTTCTGGCTATGGAGGCAGAATACAGACAGATAACAGTGATCTGCTTTTATAAAAGTCAGAATCTCACGTAGGACAGAAGCCCCATGTCACACTGCTGCGTAAGTTTCCAGCGTACAGATGAGGGATCCCTGCTGTGTGTACACACCTGTCCCCGCCCTCTGGGACAGCCCTCCCACTCCCCATCCCACCACCTTGGGTCATCACAGACCACCAAGCTGAGCTCCCTGTGCCATACCACGAGTTCCCGTCAGCTACCCGCTTCCTCAGGCTTTTCAAATTAGAAAATGAGCTCGCAAATAAATGGTGCAAGAAAAGGCGCAAAAAAGTATCAAAAAAAAGGATATGCACATGTTAGAAATTTATTCTGCATAGAACTATTTAATAAGTTAGATGAGTCCGAACAGTAAAGCAAAGAAATTACTTTTATCTCTTCAGTAAATAAACTCTCTGGGGTCAGGAGGATAACTGTACTATAATAAATATTGCTCTTAAGGAACTGCTGTCACAGTGAGGTTTTAAGACATCTCAGTAAAATCCTTTAGGTTCCTAAAAGTTATCAGTGGGTGGCAGCTCAATTTATAAATCCCATGATATGTTTCAAACCACAATAAAATACCATCAAATATTATAATAAACATATGGTTCTGCTTTTCCTTAATCAAAGCCTAGACATTTAGTATATATTTTCAATTTCATTTTATTTCTACTAGAGTCATATAAATTTCCTCACCGAAGCCGATAAACCTTGAATACTAAAGTACCACTTTTATTTCCCCACTTTTTCTGCTTAACTCCCAGGAATATATTTACTTTTTACTTATATTTTTTTCTTCCGAGAGGTTAAGAATATATCATAAATATATTTCACTAATTTCATAAGATCACTATTGAATTTTTTTTTTTTAAAAGCATAGTTAAGACAAATAACTGAGTATGCTACTCAAGGAGGCAATTTGGCATAGTGGTTAAAGCAGTCTCTGAAATCATATAACTATATTTGAGCCCAGCCTCTATCACTATTAGCTATATAACCTAGCCTAATTACTACAATTTTCTGTCTCAGATTTCTTATCAATATACTCAGATAATAATAATACCTACATCATGAGATTGTAAAGATGAAATAAAGTAATCCATGTTGAAGAAAATAAAAACAATAATTTGAAAAGATACATGCACCTCAATGTCAAAGCAGCATATGGAAGTTAATAGCCAAGATACAGAAGCAACCTAAAACGTCCATTAACAGATAAATGGATAACGGGGTGTGTGTGTGTGTGTGTGTGTGTGTGTGTGTGTATTTATATATATATACGTACATATATATCTCCCTCACACACATACACACACACGATGGTACATTACTGAGTCATAAAGAAGAATGAAATTTACCATTTACAACAACATGGATGGACCTGGAAGGTATTTTGCTTAATGAAGTTAAGCCAAACACAGAAAAACAAATTCTATATGATATCACTTAAAGGTAGGATCTAAAAAACAAAATGAATGAATATAACAAAACAGAAACAGACTCACAGATATAGAGAACAAACTATTGGTTACTAGTAGGGAGAGAGAAAGGAAGAAGGGCCAGATAGAGACAGGGGATTAAGAGGTACAAACCAGCAAGTATCAAATAGATAAGCTACAAGGGTATATTGTACAGCGCAGGGAAATATAGTCATTGTACTGCAGTCATTTTAGATTCAGTATAATCTATAAAAACACTGAATCACTATATTATACATGTGAAAACAATACAATATTATAAATCAATTAAACTTCAATGAAATAAATAAAAGTAATTCATGCAGAAAGAATAGCAGGATGCCAGACACATAGTGTCCTACAGACATCAATTGCTGTATTATTATTTTTTCCAAGAAGATGGTAAATCTATGCTTTGTATTACATGATAACAGGAGACAATTTCATGTAATTCCATATTCAGAAACAAGTATCATAAAGGTTAAAATGGATTGAGGTACCACTATATTGTGGTTTCAGGTTACTAACTAAATGCTAGAAAACACGGCACCCAACACTGACCTACGATGAGCCTACTAACCTTACAGAGTCCACCGAGGAACAGAGAGACTACTTACTGTTCACGGCAACCCACTCATTTAGATCCTCCCCCTCAGGGAGCATGACAGCCATCCGCAGGTTGCCACTGCCCAGAGTGGCCTCCGCATGCTTTAAGAGCTCATACTGGTGAGAACCCTCTGGAATGTTCTTCTTTGGTTTAAACGTTTTAGACGAGCGACTCCCACTATGAATAGAAAAGAAAAAAAGAGTATTTAAGGCACGACCTTCCACAGAGTCTACCACATGATACCAGTGGATAAAATAACATAGATCCTAAAAGTCCACCAATGTATAGCTTGAAATTGTACTGGCTACATTAAATCTTGGAAATATCATTGCTGTAACTACTGTTTGATACCCTAAACTCCTACAACCTTCTCTATATTCTCTACTGTAACTAAAAAGGAGAAAAAAGAATTATTAGCTATAACTAATCCAGCTAACAAATCCAACAATAAATTAATGATTCAGGATTACAGGTTGTAATACATAAAAATAAAAAAGTAGTCTGTGATAATCTTTAGTCATTGTATTCTTTTTTACCCCTATTCTAAGTCTCTCATTCTAAGATAAATAATTTCCTTTGTACAAGAAGCACCGTAGCCCGCCAGACTCCTCTGTCCATGGGGATTCTCCAGGCAAGAATACTGAATGGGTTGCTATGTCCCCCCTCCAGAGGATCTTCCCAGCCCAGGCTCAGCTCTTAACACTGACCCCTCTCCGTGCCAGGAGTGTGGTGTGTGTATGTCTGTCTGTCTGTCTGTCTGTCTCCTTGCCAGGGGTGTGTGTGGGGGGGTGTGCGCCCACACATGCGCGCGTGCTAAATCACTTCAGTCTCTACTCAATAGCCAAGAATCTCTTTACAAACACTAATCAGGTGACGTTATTCCTCTGCTTAAAACCACACTCAGTGATTTCCCAGTGGACTTCAGAGTGAACCCCAAAGTCAAATATTAAACATACTAAGGCTCTGGACCCACATTAGAATATGGAAACTCTTCTTCAGTTTAATCAGATAATGTATTAAAAATCAAATTCTCTCCCAGCATCTCCGAAATATGAAAACATAGAAAAGATGATCATGCCTACCAAACTTGAGGCTTATTTCATTTTCCTCCTCCTCCTTTATCAAAATTTAGTGTGAAAAATAACCTTGACCAATAATTTTTTTGACAAAAGACATTTTTACTAAGTTTTGTATGATTAAGCACAAAAGCAGCTCTCCTAACACCAATCTGGCGTATGTATTCAGACCAAGTGTTAAGCACGCTCCCTTTAATCAGCCCACGGATCAGCCCGGTGCCACAGCTGATGATGTGACAAAGCTGCTCTGAAAAGGGCTGGCAGAGAACGTGAGAACAACAAGCACCCACGGGGGGCCCCGCAAATATCTACTTATTGAACCACTGTCCCTTCAAGCGTTAGGTTTCCAAATGTCTTCTTGATTGATGACCCATTCAGAATTGGCCTTCCACAAAACTAAACACACTCTCCTCAAAGACCATACACATGGGTAAAAAGAAAAAAAAATCAATCTGAGTTTGGTTTTGTGAAGGTCAATTCTGACACTAATCAGCTTTGTTATTTAAGGCAAATTACCCAACTTCCTTGAAGCCTATTTTTTCTTTAATAGTGAAAGCCTAATAACAATATAAAACATAACCAATACCTGTTATCATGCAAGAGCTGCAAAATGAGAAAATAATAAATGAGAAAAAAAGCTTTTAAAACTGTAAAATGCTGTGCAAATATTAGTATCCTTCCTTTTCCTGAACCAGAATGACTCACAGTAAAAAGCGAAATGGTAGTCCAATGTCCAAAGCTGGACTCAACCCTTACTCCCGCTCTCATTTCCTAAGACTGGATGGGGAAATTTTTACTTTGGAAATGAATGCTCTTACACATTAAGTTACAAATAGAATTTTTAAAAAAATTGTTTGGGTTTGGGGTTTTTTTTGGTGCTTTTCCTATATCAAGGTTCAAGTGATCTCAGAATAATGGTGGGGATAGACAGGAAATCAAGAAAACAAGGTGCCCATTCTCATTTTGCTATTTTCTCCTTAGGTTACTTAGGAAACTACAAATTATCATCTGGGCTTCAATTTCTTTATTTTGCTTTTTTGAAAGTCTGGAAAATAACTTTTTACAGAAGGGTATAATTTAGAGATGAGATGATGTTTATAAAATGCTTTCAGTTCTCTGAGTTCTCTCCCTTCTCAGTTCCTCATGTCCATGCACAGTTATACTCCCAAAATGCTTTCGAGTCCTCCACTGAATTCCCCTTCTTTCTGACCCTTCTGCTTTATTCAAGCAAAATAATTCATCATTTCAGTATTCTGATTTTTTAAATGTTCTTTTTTCAAATTATATTCAACTTTTTCAACGGCTACCTGAAACTTCAACCAGGATGCACCCTACTCTGGAAGGGGTGATCAGTACTGTTCCTTATTCCCATGTCAAAAGACCAACTGAAGAGTCCTCAAGTTCAAAAGCACAAGTACCAAAACATGTACACAAAATTCCTCATCAGTGAGTGCAAGCTCTTACACTAATGTGGCCAAACACATAAGGTCTATGATAAAACCCAAACGAACTTTTCAGCTAACCCAGTATCTCACATGGCATGTTAAGATATTTGATGCAAATATTAAAAAAACATTTTCAATAACAGAAAGTATGTAGCCCCCCACCCCACCCTTTTCAGAGTCTGTCTACACAAGCATAAAAATACTTGTGCTTGTTTTATACAACTGCTGCCTACTACAGTATACTAAAGAATGCTTTCCACTTTAATATGTCCAGAAGATGTTGTACTTTAAAGTAGATCTACTTTATTCTTTTTAAAGACTGAATAATATTTCCTTATATAGATAAATAATATTTTCAACCAGTCACCTATTGATAAACATTTAGGTTGTTTCCAGTCATTTATCACTTTAAACAATGCCGCAGTAAATCTCCTCATATTATAAAAGATAAATTCTTAGAAGTAAAATTGCCCTCCTAAAGGGCATATGCATTTTTAATGTTTACATAAGGTCTATTTTTTCCCCCAAAATAAGTTGGATTCTTTTAAAACTCAATAACAATGTATGAAAGTAGCTGTATACTTTCTTGGTCTTAAAGGACAGGAATTCAGTTAGTTTCTCTTGTATAGCTCCAACAGGACATCATTACTATATGACAACTTAGAGCTTTCTGATTAGAACGTAAATGTGATTGACAAGTCATAGCATTACCCTGAGGTCTTTTCTTTTAAAATAAATACCCAGGAGTCAGGTTTGTTTATCCCAGTCCTTTTACTCATATTTGAAGGTCAATCAATTTCGAGAGAAAGACAGGATGGCTTGACAAGTAATTAAGTGAGCCTTAAGGGAAAACTCTGACAAACGGACAAAACAAATCCGTTATAATTAGTCATTCAATTTGATCTACTTTTAGTAAATTTCAAAAGCATTGTGTACTTCCTCTTTGAGACCCTAAAGAATAAACTGGTCCCCACTGTGACATCTACATTTATTCTCATAGACCACTGGTTACCATCTCAACACAGTTACACCCATCATTACCCTTAGTTTTAACTATTTAATGTTCAGTTTTAACTATTTAATGTTCAATCCAACTATCAACAAATTGGTATTTTCTAAACTGGGTTTGAGAATCTTAAGGCTGAAGGAATTGGGGAGGGGGTTTTTACAGAGAACTCAAAACGGGGGTACCAGGAAGGACTGAAAAGTCAAAGTGTTAGTCACTCGGTGGTGTCTGGCTCTTTGAGACTCTTTGCAACCCTTTGTAGGCCTCCAGGCTCCTGTGTCCACGGGATTTCCCAGGCAAGAACTGAACTGGATAGCCATTCCCTTCTCCAGGGTATCTTCCCCACCCAGGGACCAAATCCAGGTCTCCTGCATCGCAGGCAGATTCTTTGCCACCGGAGCCACAGGGGAAACCCCACTAGGAAGGGTTAGAAGAATATATATCTATATATAATTTAGATAGTGAAAAACATGTCAATATAATCAAAATTAGAAACAAATTTACATCAACTTATTTGCATCAATAACTCCATATCTTCAAAGTCAAGCAACTTACTCTGATCACCCAGCTAATTAAATAGCAGAAGTGGGATTCAACAAAAAGACAACTCACAAATTGGGAGAAAATATTTGCAAGTGAAGTGACCAACAACGGATTAGTCTCCAAAACCTGCAAGCAGCTAATGAGGCTTAACATCAACAAAACAAACAACCCAGTCAAAAAATGGGCAGAAGACCTAAATAAACATTTTTCCATAAAGGACAGAGAAATGGCCAAGAGGCACAGGAAAGATGCTCAACACTGCTAATTATTAAAGAAATGCAAATCAAAATTACAACGAGATATCATCTAACACCAATTGAAAACAACTATCATCATAAAATCCATAAACAATAAATGCTGGAGAGGGTGTGGAGAGAAGGGAACCCTCCTATACTGTTCGGAACATAAACTGGTACAGCCACTAGGAAGAAGAGTACGGACGCTCCTTAAAAAGCCAAAAATAGAGCTATCATATGACCCTGCAATCCCTTTCTTGGGCATACATCCAGAGAAAAACATGGTCCAAAAGGATAAATGCATTCCGATGTTCACTTCACTGCGGCACTATGTACAACAGCCAAGATGTGGAAGCAACCTAATGCCCATCAACAGAGAAATGGATAAAGAAAACGTGGTGCATATATACAATAGAATATTACTTGGCCACTAAAAAGAATGGAACAAAGCCATTTGCAGCAACAGGAGTGGATCTAGGGACTGTTGTACTGAGTAAAGTCAAGTCAGACAGAGGAGAAATAGCATGTGACATCCTTTTAAATGCAGAATCTAAAAAGAAATGATACAAATGAACTTATTCACAAAACAGACTCAAAGACTTACAGGATGAACTTGTGGTTGCCAGGAGGAAGGCTGGGGGTAAGGGATAGTTAGAGTTTGGGACTGACACGTGTACAAGGCTGTATTCAAAACAGATGACCAACAAGGACCTACTGGACAGAGCACAGAACTCTGGTCAATGCTACATGGCAGACTACGTGGCAGACTGGACGGCAGAGGCGTCTGGGGGAGAATGGGTACATGTATATGTATGGCTGAGTTCCTTTGCTGTCCACATGCAACCACCGCAACCTGTTAATCACCTGGACT